GAGATGTAACTCTTGCAGTTTCCACAATTCATCCTCCCACACCGCAGCCATTACTTGCCTTGCAGAGGGAAACTGTAAACAGCATCTGGGGGAAGAACCCTAGATGAGAAAATGGATTAAGGTAAATCTTCCTGTTCACCATGGTTCTGATCCAAACTGAAGTCACTGTGGCTGCTATTCTCTTGATTCAAGAGCTGCCACATCACGTTTGGCCCTTAGTGGCTCTTGAGGATGACCTTGCATTTTACCCACGGACAAGAAGTAACAGGCAATCTTTCCCCACCCTGATACATGAGGAAGAACGTGCCTCTCTCAAGTTCACATTCTGGCCCATCTGGCTCCAATTAAGGGCACAGAAAATTTGCTTTGATTGATTTAACCAAGGGGACTGTTCCAACACTTGGCTGAGCCTGGTTATTCCACTCCCAACCTTGTGCTACAAGATGACACTCGTTCTCCCTTGCTTAAGTCTTGTTCTTGCAGAGTTATCAGGGTCAGCCCAAGACATGTTGTTGCCTCAGGCAGATCAGTAAATGCCCTCCCTGCAAGTCAAGTAGCAGAGGATCATCTGAGCCAAGCCAGGTTAGTTTGGCACTGGAAGACAAAACTCCCACAAGCACCTCACAGTAATAATAATTAAATAACAGTGGACTGCCCTTTCATGACACCGTTAATCAATTGCCTGAGTTGGCTATCTCCCCCCACATAAGGGTACAGCCTGCTCTCTCTGGGCATCCATTCCACTGAAATAGTCGATATCCTCTTGCCTAAGAGCCTTTGTCTAGGATCTTTCCTACCTGCCTTGGTAGAAGGCCAATTTTCTGCCATTCCTTAGGAAAATGTTGCTTCAGGGGGAAGAGCGATTTGGAGTGGGAAAGCGTTGTGTGTGCAACCCTTCCTGCACCTGCTGTTTCTTCAAGCAGCTTTTCACCTATGAAGTTCCAAATGCACACTTGGAACCCCATGGTAGAAAAACAGCTGGAGATGTTCTCTCACATGTTCTCCTGGATGCTCCTATCCATCCATTAAGACCAAGTGAAGATTCCTTCTTACAGAGTCGTCCCCCAGGGAGGATGAGGGGGATGATAGCCAGAAGAAGGGCCATCTCGGTGGTTGTGCCCCACCTCTGGAACAGGCTCTCCAGAGAGGTGTGTCTGGCACCATCGCTGTTATCATTTCGGTGCCAGGTGAAGACATCTCTCTTCTCTGGCTATTTTAATAGATGATTTTAGTAATAACTTGATTTTAATTGACCCTATGTTTGCTTTATAGTTGATTTTAGTTTAAATTGTTTTATTCAAAGTTTTTATGTAATATATTTTGATCTATTATCTTTTTACATTTCAAATAAGTTGTTAATATGTTTTGAACATGTTGATTTAGCATAGTTGATTTTAGAATGGTTTGCTGCTGTGATTGTTGTAAGCCGCAGAGAGATTCCAGGTATGGGCGATTGTAGCAGCATACTGATTGAATTAATTAATTAATTAATTAATTAAATGTGCTTGTATATCCAGCTCCCCTCACCTACTTTTGCATAGGAAAAAGCAACCACCAAGCTTCTGCTGCACCAGCATCTGTGTGACAAGCATGTTCCCCAACTGATGAGACAATTTTATGGGTCCTGTGGTCCCTGCTTAAGAGAACTCTGCCATCATGGGCAAATATATGTTCTAATATTTTCCCTATGTGTGCAAGCTCCTGTGTGCCCATTTTATTTGTTTTTTATTTGTGATTTTAATGTTCTCATATTGTTTGCTGCCTAAAGTTTGTGTAGAAAGTGATTAAGCAATTTTATATATTCACAGTGAGTACAGCAGGAATAACTGGCACTATTGGCAAGGAACAAATCCCCCTCCCATTTTAGCAACCTTTTTCATGTTTTGCCTTTTTGTGATTTAAAAAGGTCTAGAAGTCCAGTTTTGCATGCAAAATACATCCTTTTACAGAATTAAAGACAGAATGGGAAGGCCACCTCCAATATTAGTCATCCATTCTTCATTAAATAATCCTTCTGTTCTGCAAATCTTTGCAAATGATCTCCCTTTATTCTTTACTACAACAAATCACCTGCCTTAAGTTTATTATAAAAGGTGAGGTGAAAATAGTTCAAATAACATCAATGCACAATTTTATAGATTTTAGAATAAATTTTAGTTCCTCTTCTTTAATGTGGTACACATCTGCTCTGTATAACCACTACCGCCACCACCAGTGGCAAGGGAGATTTTGAATAATGAAACAATTTTATGAATACCCTTTATCCATTTGGGAAAGGAAAGGTGTTTTAGAAGAAATACTTCACTCCCATTTGGTTTTAATCAACATTTGTAGGGTACTCTGTCCACAAAAATGCTTCACATTCCTTATATGAGTTATCATCATTCCACTCAAAACTGTGAGTTTGATCATTTTTATCTTCTTGTAGGTACACTGGGGAACTGAGAGCAAATGGCTAATCCAGGGCTAACCACTTTGCTTAGGACTAAGGAGGGGTGCAAATGCCAGCAAGCTGAATCCCTCTGGTTTACCCAAGAGGGTACTTCACATGGCCCTGAAGTTATTGCAGATTATGTGACTATACCTCTCTTGATGTGCATATGTGGCTGTAATGCCAATCCCAATTAAAAGCAAGAATCCTTTCTTTTAAAACCTGTCCGATTTCTAATATTAAACCTCACTGTTATGTGAAAATCTCTGATGCAGTCTGTGACACAAACTAAGTCCAGATTATTACAGTCCCCAATTAATTGCCAAATATTTTACTTGCCTATAACTAGAACATCAAACCGGTCAGTCCTAGAGGAGATCAACACTGACTGCTCTTTAGAAGGCCAGACACTGAAGATGAAACTCAAATACTTTGGCCACCTAATGAGAAGGAAGGACTCCCTGGAGAAGAGCCTAATGCTGGGAACAACAGATGGCAAAAGAAGAAGGGGACGGCAGAGGATGAGGTGGCTAGACGGAATCACTGAAGCAGTTGGTGTGAGCTTGAGTGGACTCAGGGGGATGGTGGAAGACAGGAAGGCCTGGAGGAATGTTGTCCATGGGGTCGCAATGGATCGGACACAACTTTGCGACTAACAACAACAACTAGAACATAAACCCATTTTCCCCCACTAGGGAAAAAAGGACTGAGAAAATATTATGTTTCTTATTCACTTCTCTATTAAGGCCTTGACATGTGTGACATTTGCTTAGCACATGGTCAAAAGCTAATGTGTTCAGGGTATATTTATATTCTGCATGCCGTGGGATATTTTGGGACAGTGCTAATAAGAGTTATGTAAAGTAAATCTATCACGCAATCTGTAGGCCATGATAATTTTTTACAAACCCATGAACATTATATTATGGAGTAATTTAGGATTCCAGTAGTGTTGGTACCCTTAGCACAATCAAGCACTGCCAAAATCCACCCACCCATGCACCCACACATACTTGTTCCCTCCTACTTTAAAGAATTAAAGATGAACTGTAATTTCCTTATTTTGGTTTTCCAGCTACTACTTAGGATCAGCCTTTCCTCTTCATTCAGGTAATGCTTTCTTAACAAGGTTATATATATATATGTTATTAATAGCTAGAAGGCTTAACATGATATTGTGCTTGAAATTTAACAAATATTTTCTGCTATCACTGCCACTCTTTGATATATACAGTTCACTATCTTTGGTTAAATTAAAATGCAATGAGAGGATGAACCGATAAGAATGTTTTGATGTGGTAAGGCATAATGGATAATAAGACAGCATTGGGTGGCTGGTTTGGTTATTCAGAATTAAAGGCTTCATGGTCCAAATGACTAGCAAGAGTTCATCAGCAAGCCCAGGTACAGCTATACATGGATTGAATGTGCAGGTTCCTTTCACACATGAATTTCCTTTGCGGGCCTGGGATGAAGTTTTACTGTTACTTGTGTTTGGGCTTATTTTGAAACTATTGGTACACAATGCCTTCAGATACATAAGACATGGAATTATTGCTATGTCTAAACCCTGGAGCCAATGGAAGCAATCAGTTTGAAGAAATACTAAATAATAGGTGGAAGGCACATTGGTCTAAATTCATACTAGAAAGTGGTGATGAACTCAGGTTGGGAATCTAGCTGACTGCTGACAATAGTGGCTACAGAAAGGCAGGGCAATTCAGAGGCACAGTTTCATGGTTCATAGTGTCCTGGTGAGTACATCTATTAAATTTTATACCCCAGGTGCTTAGCCAAGGAAGCTCTTCTCATGCTTTACTATCTAAAGTAATAAACAGCCTATAAAGTATTAACAATCACAATATGGTGTAAAATGAATAGTAAAAAAGTAATGACTAAGTTAGCAAGTTACAGTATTCATAGCTATTAAAATACAAAGAATATCTCTCAGTCCAGCAACTCAAATACCTTTCCCAAAAATGAAGAACTTAAATAATATTCTAAAACCTGTCAGGGAATGTACCAGGAACACTACTTTAGGGAGGGTAAAAAAAAAAAAATAGGATACACACCCCCACACAAAGAAGCGAAGATCCATCTGGCTACCTAAATCGTACTTCCAAGAATGAGGGACCACGCAGGACAGCCTGCTCCGAAGAACTTCATGCATGAGGGGCAACATAAGGACCATATTATTTCGGATAGCCTAGGCCTGAGCCAGTTTCTGGCATTGGCATCCATTGCGTGTCATCCAGCCAGCTAGGCTTGTTGCCAATGATGCTCTGTTGTTGATGGAGTACCAGGCCACAGCCCCCTCCAAGGGACATAACACGGAGAGAGCAGCAGTATAGTATTTCGCATTTCTGCGGGATCTTTCCTAAATGCTTCCATACACGAGCTCAATCATGCAGAGCCCAGTAGGGCCAGCAGGGCTCCCTTCTAAGCATACTGGTGGAAAGAGCTGGGCCTAACCTGAGAGGCCGCCAATGCAGGGCCAGCCATGAGTTCCGCTCTGCGGAGACTCGAGCCATGACTTGCGCGGATGGTCTAGCTCGCTAGTACTACTCACCCCACATCCCCACCAGCATCAATGGGACAAATGATAGAAGGTGCTTCACTCTCATCGGTACGTTCCTCCTCATCCGACCGTACTCAGGCAGCACGTTTGTGTCCCTGCCTGTCGCTGCTTCTACCTGCCGCAGGCAAAGGGAGGGGTCAGGAAGGAAGGCAGCGCCGCTTCTCGCTCCTGATGTGGTTTTTCGCGTCATGCCCCGGTTGCTTGGAGTGCACTTCATAGTTCTCCTCGCTCTGCCCTCCGGAGTTTGAGAAAAGCTCTCCAGCCCCTCTCCGCAAAGAGAGTTGCATTTTCAGGCCTCTAAAAGTGCAGTCCCTGCTTTCTTCCACTGGGGGGACGGGGCTTGGCCGCAGAGAGAAGGTCTGGCTTTTATTAGGTGGGGTAAGCTCCCCATCTGGACAGAGGTTACCTCCATGCCACAGAATGTTTTGGTTGTCCTGAAACAGATTTCAGTCCAGGGGGAGTGGTGCTTAGGACTAAGGTCTGCAAACCAAGGTGCTTGAGACGCAAAGAAAGACCAGTCCTCTTTGGTACTGACTCGACTTGCTACCCCGCCAAGTCTGCAGTAGAATCATGGGCTTGCTCCTTTCCTCTTGCAAGGGAGGATCCTATGCCTTTAAGAGCCAGCCACAGAGCAAGAAAATCAAAAGGCCCAGCTTTCTCCCGCCCAGCAATGTGGCTATACTGGGGAAACTTCAGCTGGGGCATTCTCAATTAATAGTTAGCTCAAGGTAGAAACCGGGCTGCAGCTTACTAATTCTGGTTACCATGGGAACTGAAGAAGAATTTGTATAACAAGCAATTCTGATACCAAATATTGCTTTACTGCAAAAGCAGTTAAAGGATACAGGTACCAAGGACACTGTCTACAGTGATATCAGGCCTCCACATATCACAATGCAATATAGACTTTATAATCATTAAAAAGGAGGAAATAAGGACTTATAAAGGAGTTAGATTTTTAAAAGTGAGCCAAGTGACAAACTCAATGTCACACATAAGCAGCAAAAGGCTTTAAGCATAAAGGTGACATTTACCCATCTTATAGATGGGAAGCAACATGGCTGAGACTAGTTCTAAAGACAAGGAATGGATCCAAATTTAATAACTTAAATAATAAATTTAATCCAAATTTGAGAATTTAATAACACCCCCAGAGCAGAAAACTTAAACTGATCCAAGCCACAATGTGCAGAGTAATTTACATTCATGCACTACAAGCATGCAAGAAATGTAGAAAGTATTCCTTCTCTGTTTCAGAACACAAAGAAACATGATCTGACTCTTTTTCATGCATGGAACAATGCAGATAGGAAGCAGAGATGCACACAAACACCTTCTCCCTCAAGAGACGTACTTGTCCTGCTGGCTGTGGGCTGCTCCTCTGTCCTGTGTACAGGATTCTGCCCACCCAGCACTGACTGAATTATCACCCAGGCAAGTGGACAAACCCCGTGGCAGCACAGTGGGAGAGCAGAAACTTTGCATACAAAGTTGCCCCATGTTCAGTCTTCCACTAGAAGGAACAGGTGCCACTAGGTAATGCAAAAGTTCTTTCTGCCTCTGAGCAACTGTTATGGGCAATGCTGAACTAGATGGGCAAATGGGCTTATCTGGTACAAGGCAGTTTCCTACCTTCCTAAGCTATTGTATGAAGGCAGGCATGAAAGTGGCTGTGAAGGATCATGGCAAGCTCATCTCATGGGGAAAACCTGACTGGTCACTACTGAGAGCATGAGAAGGAACCTTGCCTTAGGTCAGGGCCACCCTACCCTGTATGTGATCAGCCTGGCTTGCCCACAGTACAGGGCTCCCCAGCCTTCACGGAAGACTGTTTGGGAGTCAGAAAAAAACTGCTCTTGAGAACTGCTCAACAGTGCAGCTATAAGCCTGTGCGGTGGCCAGGGACAGACTCTTGGGTAGCGGTTCTCAAACCTGATATCTTCGGGTCCCCATCAGGAGATCTGAAAATGACTTTAGCTCACTGTTCGCAAAATCATGATGCAAGGCATAGCCAGCCACAAAACGGAGGCATAGTTTGGTAGGATCGCCTGACCATTTGTTGATATAATTTTATATTGATATCTAATCTTTCTTTGGAAATGACTAAACTGCCACAGTATTATCCTTGAAGCAGAGAGTTCCCCTTTCCTCAATTTAATGGCAGTCATTGCCTCTGGAGTGCGATGAGTCACCCTCCCCATTAAAGGTAGAATTTGTTGACGTAGAAACTCTGTGGAGGGCTTTCGGTTCTTACCTCTCTCCAATCATTTCTTCTTTATTGTTAAACTCGACTTAGAGTGCTTCCAGAGAAAGGGTACATAGTACATAGAGACAGAAGATATAGTACAGCCATTCTGTCTCCTCCCCCCCCCCCCCCCAATGGCTTTTCAGAAGTGGGGGGAAAACATAGGACTGTTACATTTTGTCTGGACTGCTAGTCCAATTTGAAGAATGAGTCAGGGCAATAATATGATGAGCCGTATGATGGTGGGTTAGTATGCCATGCAAAACTGGCACAGTTTTTAGGGTAGCTTATGTTTGGTTTATGGGATGCCTGAGAAAGCGATAAGGGGGACACTATCCATGATGTACCTGATTGAGTGTCAGGTACCTTGGGGCACCATCTAACTTGTTCTTGCTTTCTGCCAGTTGGACAGGTTCACACAACTTGATAACCCACAGTGCATGCTGTGCTGTGTGACTTACCATGTCGTGTGAACCTGCCCATTATGTTGAACCCCAAGACTCCATTGGAGTCAATACAGGATGTCCCTGCTGGTCAGATGCTAAAGACCTATAGCCATTGAAGCCAATGCTTGCTTACACCTGCTCAGTATCTCACACACAATACCCACAAATGAGGCAGGCAGAGGAACAACGTTGATGTGATTGTTACATAAAACTAGGCCCTGCCTGACAAAAATAACTGCCTTTGTTTCAATAAATAGCCTCTCACTTCCTGTACCTGCTTGGTTTTGGGGTGTGTGTGTGTGTGTGCTTGGTTTCTTCTATATTTACTTTCTTGTTATCTCTGTCTGTGGTCTCTGTTTGAGGTGAGAAACTTTTCTGCTCAAAGTGGCAGGAAATTTGCAGGCAACACTCAGTTGGGGCAGCTTGCCTCTGAGCCCAAACTGTGCAAAAATGGCTTGAGGCTTATACGCACAGCAGTCTCTCTCCTTAGGAGGGTGAAGCTGCACATGCAAGCCTGAAAATCAAAACTGTTATCAGCACGAAGCGGTGCGTGGTGTATAGGCCAGTGCTGCAGTGATGCACACCAGCTGGGTTAGCTTAATCTTGATAATAACACAATAAGCCGTGCTGCTCAGCTCTTGAAAGGTCACCAGAGTGTTGCTGCAGACATCCTTTTCAAGTTATTGTTGCTTGGATGTAATCAAAGCTTCCATCCCTTCAAAGCTTCTCTCAAAGAAGGCAAGCCTCAGACCGTGAAGGATCATGGGGCCATCTTGCTAGCTGGTGCTTGCTTGAAGATCACATCAAACATGCTGGGCTGCTCTTATTTGTCAGGACACGTTCTGTAGAAGCCCTTGTGCGATGCACGTGTGCGCATTGCATATGCATCTTGGAGGTGCATCCTGTGTCTCAGGAGACCAACGCTGCTGACTTTACAAATTTACCCTCCAAAATTTACCGTCTTTAGTTGTACTCACAATTTATTGCCTGAGGTAAACACCCTGACAGTGACAGAAACGGGTTCATTTGCTTCATCTCTTAACCCTTATGCGTAAAAGGAATCTGTTCTGAGAGAACTGCTACTGAATGGGAGGAGCAGTCCTCAAAGGGTGGAGTGAATGTGGATGTATCAGTTCATAGGCAGAAGCAAAGTTAGCCATGATGTCCATAAGCAAAGCTCTAAAATCCATGTGAGGGGAATGGTGTTTTTAGGCCAACTCAAAAGCAGGGCTGGATTGGGTAGTAGCATCTTTGAACCATGATTGGCCATTTATTTATTTATTATTAAATTTATATTCTGCTAATCAGTAGTCCAGCAGGCCTCTTTAAGCCTGATCATCTGTCAGACACATTATGGGCTGTTCAGGTAACAAGTAATTCACCTTGGTTTATTGCCAGGGCAAGTGGCAGTCATGTGCAGATCCACCCACTATATTTTCCTGACATGCAGATGTTCATGTTTTTGCCCGTAATGACAGCCCAGGGTTTTAAGTCCCATCTTTTTAACCCTGTATTGTCATGAATGAGCATGCACGCTAGGTCACGCTACACAATCGCTCCTTCCAGGAGCAGCTGGACAACAGGGGTCCTCAGTGAGATATGTTAATGTTAGCATCTTAGACATACTCACCTAGGAGGAATTCTCATTGACTTAAGTTGAACTTACCTCCAAATAGACATGTATAGGATTTACCTGTTAATTTTTAAATTTTTTAAAATTTAAAAACAAGCAAACCAAATTAGCTTAAGATGCAACATTCTGCTTCTTTTATTTCTCTCTGGGCAGTTCACAAAAAAATACAACTCCAAAGAGCAACTGAATGGAAACAATATATGAAAGCATTTAACTTACGCGTTTTAAGAACAAATTAAAAGGACTAAAAACCCAGTAACAATAAGATACTAATACAAAGTGACAATAAACCCCCTTTCATATGCTGTCACCAAAAACACAGCAATGTTGGCACAGAGGGGAGAGCATCACACAATCAGGGGCCCACTACAGAGAAGGTCCTGTCCTTGCTGTCCTAATGCATTTAATATGCAGGCAGGTTGATACTGGGAAAGGTGGTTAAATAATGCAAGTTAACCAACAATACACATAGCTTCAAACGCCCACCCCCAATCTCCTTTTGTACATTAAGATTTGCAATAGTCTTCTGTTTTACAGCCATGTTGATGTAAATTATTATGCAAATGACCCACCTCCCCAGTTTTATATAGTCTATTTACTTGATGGTAAACAGCAGGTGTTCTTTAATGGGTACTGATGGGCACTTGGCTGTGTCAGGTATTTGGAATATAAATCACACCCACCCTTCAAGTTTTGCTTTATCTGAGTGTGCAGTATGCTGGCAGGCTGAGAGTCACTGATGTGGGTGTGAGTT